GCATATAGACATACTAAATTTCTTGTCATTGCATATTATACCTGCAACTTAATTTTTATCGTATTGAGTTATGTGAATTCACTTCTTATCATTAACAGATGAAGTAGGGATGAAGCCGGAATCTGAGTTGCTGGTTGCTGAGTCTAGTCTTTAGCACCATAGGGGCAAGGGTTTTCTTTGTGGCAGGTTGTAGTGTGTAAAAGTTTATATTAGTATGAATACTGTTCGCTGGAGGTGTATGATATGGTTTTATCATTTGATGTATATGTAGAATTGTAAGTTTACATTGGGTTTAAACCATGAAATGTGGACAAGTTTTCTTTATGTGTGATTAAACTGTCATGGGATTTGCGTATTGGGTTATGAGATTATTTTATTTTACGTCGTTGAAAGAAAAAAAAAACAGGGCGTTAGATATATATATATATATATATATTTTTTTTTGACTGCCTTTTAAGATTGTTTAGTTCTTTTTATATTATTCTTTATTTTTAAATAGAAAAAATAATAATATTATCAACACATCTTTTTGTTTACCTTTCCCTTTTGTTCATGTTTTCTTACCGTGTAAAGCTCCTCCTTTTCCCTCCGCTTTTATTTTCCTTCCCTTCTAAACTGTGCCAAACATTAACGTGAGGATGCGTGGATACGTTGATTTCTTGTCAGGGATTAATGACGTGTAAACCCAGACTATAGAACCTTGTCAAAGCATACATGCATATATAATAGTCATATATCCTCCTCCTCCTTAAAAAGTTATCTTCTGGGTAACTTCTTTCTCCATTTTCTATCATGTCTTATTATGCCAATTGATTGCGTCTTGTCAAGTTCGCTGTGATATGTGTGGCTGCTAAAATTTGTAAAAGGAGATGAAGGTAAGGTAAAAAAGTGAACTTGTTACTTTGAGGTAAATGGGTTTCATCCTGCTTAAGTCTATCAGCAATCAGCATGCATAAATTTTGATTTTCGCACTGAGTCTTTGCAATTTTGCTCTCTCTCCTTAAATTCTGGGTTTTTTTTCCCTTGTGAAATTGTCCTTTTCTTCTTCTGCAACTGGTATTTATAGTTTCTGTCTGCCCACTTTTCCTTCGTTTGTTTTCCTGGGGTTCGGGCCGAGTTCCTTCATATGCTCTTCTCTGTTTGGATTCAGAGAAAGTAAGAGAGAAACTACAAGAAAAAAGAAAATTATAGTATATCTCAACTAGGAAGCTGTAGGACCCAAGGGTAAATATTTTTATGCAATTGCCATTATCTTCCTGTCTGTCCTTTTTCCCTTTACTTGTTTGCCTGGTGTTTGATGAGTTCCTCTATATGCTCTTCTCTGTTTGGATTCTGAGAAGCGAAAGGGAAAATAGATGAAAAATATTATAGTTTATCTCAATTAGATAGTTGTGTAAGACCCTAGTCAAAAATTTTATTTTTAATTTCCCTTTTCTGTCTTCTTAAAGGTTTATCAAAGAAAGGGGTAGATGTTAATGGTTTAACTAGATGTCATTATTTGTCACCTATTTTCATGACTTCTATCTTGTTGCTTTGTTTGTTTACCTCAACAAGGATCCGGGTTGGACCTGTTAAATGTTTTACTAGATCTTGTGAGATTGAAGATACATGAATAATTAATTATAGGAGTACACACAAGAACATTTTTAATCTGGCTATTTGATGGCGTAATATATTATGTCATGTTTTGTAGATTTTATTTGCTGATTGTTGAGCTAGTATGTCAGAGAACTATAGAACTTCGAGTACAGGCTCAAGCTCGAGTTTAAATAGCAGTTCCCGTGACACTGAGGATGATCACACCATTGCAAGCATACTAGCAGAAGAGGAAAACTTGAGAGCTGATGGCCGGCTTGGGAAGCGACTATCTCATTTGGATTCCATCCCGGTTTGCATCATTTCTTATCTCGATTTCTATACTTGGTTTCCATATTGAGTTTAGTGTTCCGAAGCATATCTTCTCTATTGCTTTGGATAATACTTTACTTGTATTTCAAAAAAAAATCTTCTCTATTGCTTCGGATTGTGATTAGTAAAACTTACATTCTATTAAAAGGGGATAAAATTTTTCAACATGATCCAAATTCTAACAACTTATCACTTGCCATTTTCTACTAGTCAATTTCTATTAATTTGGATGATATTTTCATATTCTCCAAGTTAACTAAGTAAGACTTTCCAATGAATTTTACAAAAGTTATTGATTAGTTCCAAACATACCCCAAGTAAAAAGACATATGAACACAGTCTGAGAAACATTGCAAAAGCCATGCTGCCTTCAAGGAATATCATTTGAAAGTATGGTAGTGTTTTTTTCTTTAGCTTTTGTGAGAATAACATTAGGCCAGGCTTGGTTTAAAAATGCATATTTCACGAAGTAAGAATAATAATGTTGTAGAACGATGACAAGGTTGAAATGAGAATAAAATTTTATTTTATTTTCAGATCATGTTTAGATCCTTATGTGATTTTATCTACCCAAGTAAGAAATCAATTTCCATGATGGCAATGGAATTGATTCAGTTCAGAATCAAATACAAAACTTATGATCCCTTTATAGATATATATATATATATATATATCAAGAATATTATAGTAATTAAGGTAAAGGAACATGATAGGAATTGAATCAAAGATTGGCTAATTGGACTGGACTGTTTGTTGATTTATTCTTGTATCTATGAAGTTATTAGCTGTCAGCATTTGGATGATCCGTATGTATATTTTTGAGGTAAGCATGGACGTTCTTGACTTTCATCACATGATCTTGTTTCCCTATCCTGGAAAGAGCGAAAGGAAAAAAAATTTTCTACGGAAGAAAAAAAGAAAATCTACCATGATTTCTGAAGTGGGTTTGAGTCAGCAATGTAGTACTTGTTTTACATAATAATTTTTCAGTGTAACTTTCACTCTCTTATGATGTTACAGAGTGAAGCAATCAAACTAACAATAAAATCCTGTCTCTGTTTTGAATTTGCTCTGTGTACTAAGACATTTATATAATAAAGACATGTATGGTATCAATGTCTATAGCATTTTTACTCGTAAATGGCTTTGATAATGTTGAAGATGTAAATGATTTTGATATCCTTAAGAATAGATTATTCAAAATCCTTGGTTTTTTGTTACGGGGTCATCTTCTTTGTTCTATGGAGAATTTGGTGAACCTTGTTGATACATTGATTGACTTATAATTCTATATATGATCAGCACCTTTTTGGTGCCTATATCAATACAATTTTCACACTTTATATATATATATATATATATATATATAAAAGAAGAAAAGCATTTTTACTTGTGTGCATGATTTTGCTTCTATTATAGGTGGTAAAGCTTTGTGGAGATTATTCAACTTAGCAGCTTTCTATCTGCAATTCAATAGTTTCTAGAAGGCTCTTTTATTATTCATGAATTTGTTGTCTTGGCAGCATACTCCCCGTGTTAACGGAGAGATACCTGATGTAAATGACGCTACCTTAGATCATGATCGGCTCTCTGAAAGGTTCTGGTTCTATCATGAGTTTTTCTTATAAAGTTTCTCTTGGTTTTTTTGTATTGTAAGTTAGTTGCTCGTACATGAATTACCTCAATTTTTCATTCCATGAAATAGAAATGTGAATACAATACATATATATGTAAATATAAACTTAAACGAAGTAACAATCTAATTCTTAGTTGATTTCATATCCTAATTCAAATTAGATATTTTTGTGATTCTCTTTTTAATACTTGAGAATACATACATGTGGAATTGAAAATATGAGTGAAATTGATTTGATTATGTATCAAATATATAATCAAATATAGGAATTAAATGTGAATAGAATATGTTTGAATTAAGTGCAAACTTAAAATCTTTGCATCTTTACTTAGATACGAGAAAGCAAATGATAAGTAAATGCTAATGCAGCACTCATCTTGTGCTTAACAAGTTCTGTTATATGAGATTTACCTTTTTGTTGTCTCTCATGGATTTCCTTAAATTCAGGTTGGCTACATATGGTTTAGCTGAATTACAAATTGAGGGTGATGGAAACTGTCAGGTTCATTTGCAAAAATAGCTTTTCAACTATCTGCCATTTCATTTTCTACTTTTATTTTTTTGCAATTGCAATTCAAACGTTGTGATTTCTTTTTGTAACAGTTCATTATCCTATAGTTTCGTTTTTTATATGTGCCTGTATATATATTCCTAAACACGAATATGAGGAAACTCAAAGCTAAAAAAAGTGGAAGTTAGGGTAATGAACTATCACGAAAAGGTTGCAGGTAATGAAGGGCAACAAAATCAAATCACATGGGTTGAAACTGTAATTTGTCTTTTATTTACTACCTATATCTTGTCAACATATAATTTTGTACATAAGTAAGTTTCACTTTTATTCACATATATAACTTATAGTTGTCAGATATTACCTATACCCTTTAAGTTGGTGTATATCTTATTGAATAATCACATTACCTATTTTGGTAGTTTCGAGCATTAGCAGATCAACTATTTCACAATCCAGACTATCACAAATATATCAGAAAGAAAATTGTAAAGCAGGTATGACTGAAACAGTGATGCAAAATCCTGCTTTATTGAGTTTTGGGCTCTAGCGTGAACATTTCATTTATAGCAGAAACAAAAACTGCAAAGTTGATGAAGGATGTAATAGATGACAATTTCTTCTTTCTCCTCATGTTTATGTGGTTCGATAAATAGTGTGCATTAAAATTGTGGCCAAACACGTAAATATATTCTTCTCGCCTCTACAATTACCACTATCATGATTTCTTTCTCACACTTTACGGGCTTTCGTTTACTCCTAATTCAATTATAAGTGGTGATAACTATTAAGCTTGGTTCAATTCTAATTCAATTGCTAGTGAATTTATAATCCTAGATGTAGTATTAGTCTTAGTATGTTCAATTAGAATGTATCTTTTTGTGTTTTAAGTTACCGCCACTCCACTTTTATCATGTTTCTACCATCATGGTGACGTCAAGTTTATACCATCATGAAATTTAAAGCGGGGTGGCATATTTTACATTATGCATATTAAGTTAATATGAGAACTAGAAATTAAGAAATAATTAGGAACTAAATGGAAATTGAACCAGATACAACATTATGAAGATGATGTTCAAACAAGGATGTTTTCTCATTTCACTTCAGTTCTATGTCCTTCTCTTTACCTTGCCATCTATTATTTCTTATCAACAAACTCCTAGACAGTCGCCTGTTCCTTATCGTATTAATTTTTCTTTTTTATGCCTTTGCAGCTAAAGAAGTTCAGAAAATTATACGAGAGTTATGTCCCATTGGAGTACAAAAGCTACTTGAAGAAGATGAAAAGGTTGGATGTATCTCTACTCATTCTATTAACATGAAATTAACGAAAATGTGGGGCCACCCTTGATGTAGTTACCTACTAATTATTATTATAATTTTTTTGTGTAATCTGTCACTAGATCAGGTGAATGGGGAGACCATGTCACTCTGCAAGCAGCTGCAGACTATGTAAGTTCAATTCGGTTTATGCTTGCCTGTCTGGTTCATGCACAATTCTGTTTGTGCAAAGCTCTACTAGATTGCTCAGGGTCTTTAGATCTTCAATTAATTGATTGCTTGTCGCATCAATGTAGTTTGAAGCGAAGATCTGCTTAGTCACCTCCTTTCGAGACACGTGCTACGTCGAGATCCTTCCTAAGGACAAGAATCCTACAAGAGGTAGATCCGTAACATATCCTCTAGTAAGAGAATGTCTTTGCATCGACTGATTTTCAAATCGAATTGGAGTTTTGACTGCTGATTTTTGAGCTTGTAGAACTGTGGCTGAGCTTCTGGAGTGAAGTGCATTATAATTCTCTCTATGCAAGTGGAGGTACCATTCATATGCCTCTTTTTTTTGCCCATTTCTAAAAAAAGAAGCAAAAAGTATAGTTTATGGATGTTATTTGCTCTTGTTGCAGTTCAAACTCCATTTTTTCTCAATGCATACATACATGTATATATGTATAAAAATAATATATGTACTTATAATTTGATAAGGTAAGATGTACGGAGTGGTATCATCCGACTCTCCTAAGGAGATTTTCTAGTATCGTCGCTGATGGATTGAAAACTGTAATTTGATTAAAAGAAAACTTTGAACATCTTAATGAAGTATGAAAGGTATTGGCTTGTTCTAACTGGGTACTTTACACAGATGTTCCCAGTAGAGTACCGAGAAAAAGGCATTGGCTGTTTTAGAGCCATGGAGAAGATCAGCTTATTGAGGTCTCTGCTGTTGGTTCACTTCCTCACTTGTTCTACTGCTATTAGTTACTTGTTAACTCAATATTTTTCAAATTTGACTTGTAATATCGACCAGTTTTACATAACAATAGATTTTATGATTCGGTTTACTTGGGTTCTATCTCTTCTTGAAAATGAATTATTTTATTAATTTTATTTTTTTATAAATAAAATATTAGATCGAATTTTAATTCTAAATTAAGAGAATGTAAAATGGCATGTAATATTTTTCACTTAAAAATATAGTAAAATTTTTGAAATTCAACCTAATATAATCATCACAGTTTTAATAATACATTAGTGAGTTAAATTTTTAACGCCACTTAAGTCTTAATTAACTTGTAATATCAACCCTATCTTACATAACAATTGATCTTATATAATCCAAATTATTAGATTCATCTCTTCTTGAAAATGGATTATTTTATTAATTTTATCTTTTTATAAATAAAAAATTAAATTAATTTTTTTAACATAATTATTTAAATCAAGAAAATTTTAATTGCTATTTAAATATTATTTCTACCTGAAAACATAATAGGTGTGTCAAATCTTAACTCAACTTAATTATTATACTCTCATCAATACACCAGTGAATTAAAATTTTTATTTTTATTATACTTACTCAGGCATTAGCTGATAACTAAGGGTCCATAAGTAACAAATTAACTTTAAAAATTATTTCTAGATTTCAATTTTACATTT